CGGCAAGAGTCCTAACCACTGTGCCACCGACGCACATAGAATGACAAACATAGGTGTGCTGCGTAAAATGTTCTTCGTATACTCCTTGAAAGTCTTTGGAATAGAATCTCACTAGATAAGTCACCATTAAATTGTAACTTAATAAATAGAAGCTTTTTACGTGCAGTCAGAGTCGCGGGTTTTCTCTCCGGTGTTTTCATATGTTTCTTTATGAAACTACTCGGATAACCAGCCCATCTCCGTCAAGGAATTGTGAATATATTCAAATTTCTTTTGTAAGAGGTCGTCCGTACGTATCTTTCTTGCTCTGCTCGCGAGACATTTTACAGCATTCCTTTTACATTTAATGGGGGCGTAACTAAGGAGGTGTGTGTGTATTACCCTGTGAGTGTGCTTTTTCTATACAAGCTTCTCCAAGTGACCCATCTTCTCGCCTACTTAGCAAGACATCCAGGAAATGTAGTTTACTATCCTGCGGGGGTGGGGTGGACGTTGCTGAATTTCAGCAACAATTCAACAATTCAGCAACATTCCCATCAGCTAAGATAAATGTATCATCGACATATCGGTAATATACATATAAAACTCCTTGATGATGATGTCCTTCAAATACCCGTTTTCAAGTTTTAGGAGAAAGAAGTCAGCTAATATTGGGCCTAATGGTGAACCACCCATAGCTATTCCATCAAACATGATTATTTAAGTCTTTGGAAGTGTTTGAGGAAAACTGAGAAGATAAACACGACACAACAGTAATCACTGTACTCATTGGTTGTTTGAATAAACAGTATTACTATAGTTTAGAAATAAGTTAGTACAGTTGGTTTTGAGTAGTCGTTGTGTGACAGATAATAATAATAAGCTTTATTCCAAAACAGTATTTGTGCGAATACAGAATGGAATTCTCAACAATATACTACAGTATATTGCATCTAGTTTGTACATTATTCAATAAAGAAAATTCTACATAGATTAAGGGTAATCTCAGTTAGTTTTGACAACAACTTATTAGCATGTCGGTAGCAAAGCCAAGAATTGAACAGAATGTTTGCAGGTGTTAGAAAAGTAGATACTACTAGCATATTTACTGGCGTAAGCGGAAGAAAGAAACAAAGCAGCACATAACAGAAAAAAAGGGGAGAGAGAGAGAAAAGGAAAAGAAAGAAAGAAAAAAACGTTGTACCTGTAAATGACATGAATTGGAAAAACGAGATCCAGTTGTTCTACTGACTATTTAATAAGTCATAGGTATCCCGCCTAATGCTCTCTTTATCGCAGAGAACACGAGCTAAGTAGGATATGGCTGAGTTTTTTATACTTGCTAGTACGAGCATATAGTTTTCTATATAGGCTTCTGGTCTGCCTGCCTGATGAGATATAAGGGGAGAGTTGTGAATGAAGAGGATGGTGTGAGTTAGATAGAATGGATTGATTTAGCCCATTTTTCACATGAGTCCAAGTGCCTGTCGACCAGAATATTAATAACACAAGCTGGTTAAGTGGCACGTAGCTTACCCTTCTGACAACCTTTAACATCCTGTGTAATAAGGTATAGTCTTTCTTCAGTAGCTAGCCCAGGAAAAACTAAGGTGGAACAATAGAGAATAATAGGCAGAATACGGGAGTTAACAAAGTGCAGGAGTAAGGGTAGATGTGGTAGTATAGAGTTGTGAGCATATCAATTAATTAATTCATTCATTCATTTGAGTGCATATTTATCGAGTGTGTGTGTATATTCGAATTAATAAATTGTTTTCACCGTCTATACTTTAAGGGAGTTAGTAATTACTGTCAGTTAAATAAAATGAGATGACAGTTTTTTTGTTTTTGAATTGTTTTTCTTATAGAGTTCGATTTTCTTTTTGACTTACTTATTGTTATTATTATTATTATTAGTCTAAGAATAACATTTCGAGTTGACTAGTATAATTGATTTGTACTCAAATAGAAGTTATATGAGTTGTTTTGGTCAACACGTAGCACATTGGTTTAAGCACTTGATTTTCAGTCAATGCGTCCCAGATTCGAGTTCCACTCTGCCTACTTCAGCCTAGGCAACCGTTTGTCTGTCTGTCTGTTTTCGACATAGAACTTTGCACATATGTGCATCAGTTCAAGTCGCCACACTCCCTCCATGTAGCACACAAAGCAAGAGAAAAAGGTAGAGGAAATGCATAATAGAGACAGTAAACAGAGGTGTGACACAAAGGAATAGTAGTAACGAAGAACAAAACAGTTTCATTGGAAATCATAAGTCACAAGGAGTGGATGTATCTGCGCTGTCATTGACAACGATCACTTTGAGCCTTATCACCAATTGTTTCCAACCATTGGTTTTTACTGTCGCGAGGACCCCAACCATGAAGTCTACATCTTCCTACGTGGCTGAAACTAACTGTTGTGGGTGTCGTCGACTGCTGCCATGTTTTGGTTTGACCACCGCTAGCTTTTTGCCAGCCTGACCCTATATCAGCTAACATAGCTTGTCGAGGAAGGCGATGACTAAGCAGGTATGCGTAACACATGTCCTAACCATCTCAGTCTATGTAACTTCACAACCTCATCGATTGATTTCCCCTGTTTACCTAGAACTCGACGCCTAACCTCAATATTCCTCACCTTGTTATGCCACTTCACACGGGAGATAGAGCGCAGGCACCTATGATCAAAGACAGCTAATCTTTTCATGTCTTTCACTCTCAGTGGTGAGGTCTCGCTCACAGCCATAAAGGAGGACAGAGCGGACTGATGAGCAGTAAAACCCCCCTTTGGTCAATAGTCAGCCGGATATCACGTCTACGCCAGAGACAGCGTAAACTGGCATATGTGAAACTAGCCGTCTGTATTCGTACTGAGATTTCGTCAGAAATCAACCCGTTGGCGTTGGGGCTGATGGTACTTCCCAAATAAGTGAAGCGGTCCAGTGAAGCTCTACCACTTCACTTCCTATTTCTAATCTAGGAGTCGGTGTAGTCCAGTCCTGTAACATCATCTTGCATTTGGCGGGAGCGAATCGCATGCCAAACATTCGTAGATTGTAGCTCAAGGTGTTCAGAAGACTCTGCATTTCGTCAGCGTCTTCACCTAGGAGGACTATATCGTCTGCATATTCTAAGTCAACGAGATTATTCCCTGGTAGCAAGTCAATCCCTGAGTCTCCGAAGTGAGTTAGGGTTAAGTCCATTAACACATCTATGATGAAGTTGAGTAGAAATGGGCATAATGGGCATCCTTGACGGACAGCACTAGTCGTCACCAGTTCAGATGACAACTCGCCGTAAGCCCTCACCTGGCTGTATGAGCACGAGTAGAGTGCCTTAATCAGTGCAATATATTTTCTCGGAATTCCCTCTACAGCCAAGCATCGCTAGAGTACCTCTCGGTCGAGAGAATCGAATTCCGCCTTTAGATCAAGAAATATAATGATTGTTGGACGCCGTAGGAATCCCTATGTTCTAGAATCTATCGGAGGGTGAAGATATGATCAATACACCCTCTTCCTGGTCTAAAGCCTTAGGTAACTGTGTAACATATCATTAACATCCACACGATAAATGTGATTCACAGACCTGTACTGGTTAATTAAGTTATACAGAAATAAAATAATAGTCACCACTTTATTGTGAACTGAAATAGGTTGGAGAACCATTGGTAAACCTGGGAGTACTGGATAGCCAGGTGTTTTGTTAGCCTAATTTGGGACTACGCTTCAGCAGTATGTACCCACCGCCAGCCCATGAATTCCAGCTTCTGCCAATTCACAATATAGCGCGATCAGTACTAACCAATGTTATCCTTGGCGAGTATTTGTCTTCATATCCAACCTGCTGTACTCCACTGGTCACAACTTCTCACTGGAACTCGACGCACAGACCACTGAATCGGGTCCCAGTGGATTGGTGGTCTACGAGCTCGCCTTGTAACCAGAAGGTCCTGGTTTCGATTCTCGGCCGGGGATGGGTACGTACCGCTGAGGAGGAGTTCCAAATTAGGCTGACGAAACAACTGACTTACTATCCAGTACTCCCAGATTTACCAATGGTTCTCCAACAGATGTCAGTTCATGATGAAATCCTGTCAGCAATCAAATTCCTGCAAACCAACACTTGAATAATCAGTATTAGTTGGTTAACACCTGTATACACTTCCTTGAATGGCCTAAGGTGAGTAGACTTTGACCTTTTTCTCAAAATGCTCTCATGTCATCCCGCTTTTATAGCCTCTACCAGTTAATTCCTATTCACTGCTTTCATGTGGCAGTGAAAGGGTAAACCTGGACGTCTGGACACACTCAGGTTTACCCAAGGGAGCTGCAAATCTCCATCTTTTAATAACACTATCTGAACTTATTAAAGGAATAATGGTTTTAAGTCATTCGATAGCGGTTCGATTCCCGTTGTGGTGAGGTCATGGATACGTACTACTGAAGGGTAAGCCAGTTAGGATGGAACAGTTGTCCAGGACTTCATGGTATCTTCAGTGGTTCTCTAACTGATATTAATTAATCCGTGATCAAACTTCAGAGCAATCAAATCCCTACAAACTAACCCTTACTGATTACTGGCTATAAAAAACGAAGTTGCCTGGAGTTCTAGTGAGAAGTCGTGACAAGTGGGGTCCAAGTCCTGGTCGAGTGCAAGGACAAATACACGTTGACAACAACAACAACAACACCACAGCTGGTCGTGGTGCTAAAAGTCGTGAATCGACTTTGGAGGTTGGAATTCATGGACTGTTGGATTTTGTCGCACTCGTTGAATAGTTAATGAGTTTTCCTTGTAACCCGAAGGTCCTAGATTTAATCCCTGGTAGGTTTATGGGTGTGTATTGTTAAAGAGTCTCAAAAGTCATCCAGTACTGACACCAATCCGTGGACAAACTTGAAAGCAAATTAAACTAGAGATAATTTTCTTTCCTGTTATAGTGCGTCGTACAATTTATAATCATGTTTATACAATAATTTCTGTTTTCTCTCTTTTTTATTTTTACTATTTATATAGTCTTGCAGGTTACACGAGAAGATGATAAAGCACGAATCCGTAAAGCCTACCATGAAATGGCACGGAAACATCATCCAGATAGACAGAAGACAGTAGAAGATAAACGCAAAGCTGAAGAACGCTTTCGTTTGATCAATACTGCATATGAAGTGAGTCATTGAGTGAGTGAGTATATGTGTCTATATGTGCATTCCTGTAATATGTGTGTGTTTTAAAGTCCAGCCATGATCGGAGGTATGCCTGTCAATCTGTCCTCCCAATAATTGTCACCACTCGAACAGTGTATACCGTCACCATCGATACTTTTTTGACGTCGATTCTCACTTAAGAAGTTTAGAATCCGTTGAGATTGTTCTTGCTAGCATGCGATGCTGTCGACAAATTGGGTTTTGGTTCCGTTTGGCATTATATGGATCTGCTGGTCAGAGAAAGGTGACATACTTTTCTCTCCATCAACCCCCCCCTTTTTTTTGAAGTCGACTTCCACATGTGCAAACAGCTTCAAGGTAGGAATAATTTGTCGTAAAACAACTTGTCTTCTGTAATTTCAAGTTAACTGTGAAATTTTTAGTCGATAAATACTAGAGATTGCTTTGTTGTACTTAATCTTCTATCAGACGTTGTCCAATACTTTAAATGTTATTATTATTATTATTCCCTGGGTACCGGATGGAAGGAACATGGGATGTCAGCAAGACATCTGCGTTTCAACCGGCTCCACGATCGCCCATAAGTTGCCATTTCCTCCTTGACAGCTTTGGATACCCGACTCATTGATTGTCATTCTTGCTCAATTCGATAATCTAATGAGTGATGTCACTCAACGGTCTTCTCAGCGAAGAGGTCCATTTCGTCTCTTTATTAGTTTGTTGATTAGATGTATCACCACACAGTGAGTGAAACAGTATGATTGCTTACTGGATAACAAGGTTTCGAACACAATTTATTGCGGTTCATAATCATGTCATCAATTATAATCACATGACTTTGAAACTTGAGTTTTATAGTTTTCTTTGTTCTCTCCTATTTTTTGTCGTAGTGTAGTAGAATTCTCCAGATATCGCCTGGACAAGTGTTGAATCATTCCTGTTACATGTATTTGCAGTTGATTCGATAAACAAATAAACCTTCCGCTGTCTTCAACCTCTCCCTCCATCCTGTTAAAACGTTAGATTTTAAAACTGTTATGTTATCCCATCCCATTGTATGGTTGTGTGTAATTGCATGTAGTCAGTGATATAACTAAACTTTTCTATAGATTTCTTATCTTATTCGGGTCAACCAGTCTAGATTTTGCTAGGTTTTTATGTTCGACTAGTCTGACTCCCCTGTTCTACTAGTTTGACCTGTGTGCTGTTTGACCTGACAATCATTGCAGACAGGCTATTAGATAAACTAAATTGTTTTGTTTTAAAGGCTCCACAGGATTGATCCTTTAACCGACAAAGCTTGTTTCTAAATGAGTTTGTAGGTTTGAATATCAGTCACTTTTATTCCTGCTCTGTTAAGAATTCTGCGTAAGGTGCTTTCCGAGGTTCCTTCCTTCCTTGTATGGAATTACTACTGATGATTTAGATTCCTTATTGTTGGTGTCGTCATTAATATTATTATTATTATCACGTTTATTATCTTCACTATTATTATTATTATCACTACTATCATTATTTATTTTAATTTTACATTCCCCTACATATTTCCTGACTAATTTATCAGGGTAATTGCTAAGTTTTGAAATTCTAGTACCCCTACGACAACAAATAGGAGAGAACAAAGAAAACTATAAAAATCAAGTTTCAAAGTCGTGTGATTATAATTGATGAAATGATTATGAACCGCAATAAATTGTGTTCAAAACCTTGTTATCCAGTAAGCAATAATACTGTTTCACTCACTGTGTGGTGAATACATCTAATAAACAAACTAGTATCTAATTACTTACTGTCACAGTGCCCAAGTTTTACCATTTCATCTGCATTTCTTTCCGTCGCTTTGTTAGGTGATAAATAATTTTGATTGGTTCGCTTGATGCTAGAGTTCCTTGTCGTTGTTCTTTATCCTGTCCAACTGTCCATCTGATCTGTATGATAGAGCTGGAAAAAAAAGCAAAACTGTTCAAGAAAGTAAGTTTGCACTGAAGATGTTGTTCAGATGAGAATATAACAGCAAAAGTGACAACACCAAAGTGATATCAGGATTTCATCATGAGCTGACATTAGTTAGAGAACCATTGGAAAACCTGGGAGTACTGGACAGCTGTTTCGTTCTAGTTTTGGACTCTTCATCAGTACTCACCCGCCGGGATTCGAAGTGATATATTGTTGCCTCACCAAAGTGATATATTGTTGCCTCACTTAAATCTTTCTTTTTCTCTTTTGTATTTTTCACGGTTAGATTTTAAGTGATCCAGAACAACGACGTGAATATGACTACATGTTGGATAATCCAGATCAAATGTATTACCATTATTATCGATATTATCGACGTCAGTATTCTGCTAAAGTTGATGTCAGACTAGTGATTATATCCATCCTTTTGATTATCTCCTCAATACAAGTAAGTTGGTTCTTTCATTTTTGTGAAGAGTTAGAGTTAGTCAATGGAAGATATTGGATTTTATTATTATTTATTATTCATAATATTCCCATGGGTTCTAGATGGAACATGGGCTCTCATTAATACATTGACATTTGACTCAATTCTCTACAGTCTTTCACTTCAGCTGTCTTTACAACTGCCTATATGGTTTCATTTTCTTCTCATATAATTTCCTCTATGTCACCCCTGGATGCCGCCTGACTCGTTGTTTTCTATTCAGGATCCACTACAGTTCCAGTATGGTGTGTGATGTCACTCAATGGTTTCCTGAGTGTGTATATATTCAATCCATTTCCATTTTTTTTCTACATATTTGTTGAATCCAAGGTTCTTGGCGTGCATCGGTGGCACTGATTGAGTCACTTTTTACAACACAGAACTTTGCACCGATTTGCAGCAGTTCGAGTCACCACACTCCATGCAGCGAACAAAGCAAGGGGAGAAAGCAAAAAGGAATGCATAATAGAGACAGTAGACAGAGATACGAGGCAAAAAGAATAGTAATATCGAAGAACAAAATGGTTTTATTGGGTATTATAAATCACAAGGAGTAGATGCATCTGCGCCAGCCATTGAGAACGTTCATTTTGAGCCATATCACTAGTTGTCTCCAGCCATTGGTGTTTACCGTCCCGAGGACGCCAACCAGGAAGTCTACACCTTCCTAGGTGACTGGCTGAAACTAACTGTTGTGGATTTCATTGACTGATGAAGTAATGTCTCAGTTTGACCACCACTGGCTAGCTCTTTTTCAACCTGACCCTATGTCAGCTAAAACTGCCTGTTGTCCAGGAACGCAATGGCTAGGCAGGCATACGTAACACATATCCTAACAATCTCAGTTGATGTAGCTTCACAGCCTCGTCTATTGACTTCCCCTCCTTACCTAGCACTCCACCTAAGCCTGACCTCAATATTGCTCACCCTATTATACTACCTTACACGGTAGATAGAAGACATGTGTTACGTATGCCAAGCCATCGCCTCCCTCGACGAGCAATGTTAGCGATATAGGGTCAGGCTGGAAAAAGCTAGCGGCGGTCAAACAAAAACTTGCATCAGTCAATGAAATCCACAACATTGGTCTAAGCCACGTAGGAAGGTGTAGACTTCCAGGCTGGGTCTCGGGACGGTAAAAATCTATGGTTGGACACAATTGGTGACATGGCTCAAAATCGTTCTCAGTGACAGCGCAGATGCATCCACTCCTTGTGACTTATGATCTCCAATGAAACTGTTTTGTTCTTCGTTACTACTATTCCTTTGTGTCACACCTCTGCTCACTGTTTCTATTATGCTTTTCTTGTACTTTCTTCTCTTGCTTCGCGTGCTACACGGAGTGTGGCGACTTGAACTGGCGCACATTTGTGCAAAGTTCTATGTCGAAAACAGACAGACAGACAGATAGAAGGCAGACACCTATGAACAAAGACAGTTAGCCAGTCTTTTCATGTCTTCGACTTTCAATGGCCAACTCTCACTGAGTCATAAAGGAGGATTGAGAGGACTACTGATCAGTACTCACGCCATTTGGTCGATAGCCAGTTGGCAATCGCGTCTACACCAGAGATGGCATAAACTGTCATATGCGAACCGCGCTGAGATTTCATCAGCAATCAACCCGTTGGCGTTGGCTGATGCTACTTGCCAAATAAGTGAATTGGTCAACACGCTGTGCCACTTCACTCCGTATTTCTCAGCTAGGAGTCAATGTAGTTCAGTCGTGTAACATCATCTTACATTTGACAGGAGCGAATCGCATTCCATCGGTGGCACAGAGGTAGAATGCTCGTCAACCATGCAGGGGTTCTGGGTTCGAGCCCCGCTGCCGACACACTCCTTTACCTCACTGAGCCAGTAATAGGACTAGTAAAGAGAGAAAGTCGGGCATGAGGCTAGCAACCCCATCCCGTAAAAGTAAACACCACTGCCACAGAAACTTCAAGCCTCTAACTTGAAGTCACCTTATGTTCCACTGGGAACGTAAAAGGAATAAAAAATTAAAAATAAAAATAAAATGGGTTCTTGACTGGTTCCTTTGATGTCAGAGTTCCCTGTTGCTTATCCTTTCTGGTTGGTCATCTGATCTTCAATATTAAACCGGTGAAGATAGCTATTAATGGGAGTCAGCAGTAGCTTGTTGTGGGAGTGTCCTTGGTGATATTCTGAACAAGTCTCTGAAGCATACAGAAGCACTAATGTAACACTTGTGGTCTCGTCGCCTATTGATGTGGCGAGTTGTCATCTGAACTGGTGACTACTAGTGGTGTCCGTCAAGGATGCCCATTATCCCCTTTTCTATTCAACTTCATCATAGATGTACTAATGGACTTAACCCTAACTGACTTCAGCGACTCAGGGATTGACTTTCTACCACAGGAATAATCTCGTTGACTTCGAATATGCAGACGATATAGTCCTTCTAGGCGAGGACGCTGACAAAATGCAGAGTCTTCTGAACACCTTGAGCCGCAATCTACGAATGTTTGGCATGCGATTCTCTCCCGCCAAATGCAAGATGATGTTACAGGACTGCACTACACCGACTCCTAGATTAGAAATAGGAAGTGAAGTGGTAGAGCACGTTGACCGCTTCACTTATTTGGGAAGTACCATCAGCCAGTGCCAACGGGTTGATCTTTGACGAAATCTCACCACGGATACAGAGGGCTAGTTTCGAATATGCCAGTTTACGCCGTCTCCGGCGTAGACGTGATATCCGGCTGACTATTCACCGAAGGGGGGTTGTACTGCTCATCAGTCCGCTCCGTCCTCCTTTATGGCTGTGAGCGAGACCTGGCCACTGAGAGTGGAAGACATGAAAAGATTAGCTGTCTTTGATAATAGGTGCCTGAGTTCTATCTCCCGTGTGAAGTAGCATAATAAGGTGAGCAATATTGAGGTTAGGCGTCGAGTTCTAGGTAAACAGGGGAAATCAATCGACCAGGTTGTGAAGTTACATAGACTGAGATGGTTAGGACATGTGTTACGTATGCCTAGCCTCGTCATCGCCTTCCTCGACGAGCAATTTTAGCTGACATAGGGTCAGGCTGGAAAAGAGCTAGTGGAGGTCAAACCAAAACATGGCACCAGTCAATGAAATCCACAACAGTTAGTCTAAGTCATGTAGGAAGGTGTAGACTTCCAGGCTGGGGTCCTCGGGACGGTAAAAACAAAAGGTTTGAAACAATTGGTGACATGGCTCAAAATCGTTCTCAGTGGCTGGTGCAGATGCATCCACTCCTTGTGACTTATGATCTCCAATGAAACTGTTTTGTTCTTCGTTACTACTATTCCTTTGTCTCACAGCTCTGTTTACTGTCTCTGTTATGCATTTCCTCTGCATTCTTCTCTTGCTTTGTGTGCTACATGGAGGGAGTGTGGCGACTTGAACTGGTGCACATATGTGCAAAGTTCTATGTCGAAAAGAGACCGAGAGACAGACAGATGTGTAACCGCGAATGAACTTATATGTGAGTATAATAAATAACACGGACTCGATTAGACAACTCAAATAAGATGCTAATTAGATAAGCCTATTCATCCTCATAGTACTTTCAGCTCTACTGAGCCACGTGTGTACCGAAAAACAAAGAAGACTCACGTGTGACTGTGTTAGGATAACGATTATATTAGGAAAAAAGCACATCGTTTGTGTGTATATTTATAATTACATTAAAATTTGTCAAAGGAGGTGGAAAATGGCGTATTCTGATTGGTCGACGAGATCGGTCAGTCGTTCTATCACATAGGAGGAATTCTGCAACTAACTAACTAACTGGTTTAAAATTATCGATTACTACTTATAGCCACTTCTTATCAGCGTTGAAAATCTGAATCTTGTTCCTTTTGCTTAGTAGCGCAGGAGATTTGCACATGTCTTTTGAGAGTAGTGAATGTCTGTGTTCATTTTGCTGATGTTGACTCAGACACCTTCATCCGTGTTGTCGCCTGTATATTCGAAACGAAACGTTCCTATGGAAGTGAAAGAGTCGACCTTCCTTACATTTCTTCCATTAGTGATTGGTGCTTGTTGTTCCTTGGTTAACCCTTTTTCATCACTTCTGTCTTCTCTATGTGTTCACCTAAAGTAGTCGTTCTACCTTTGATGCTTATTCTGTCACCTTGTTAGTTTTTCTCTTGTAGATCTTCAAGTTACTATATGACATTAGACATAAATAATCGACGAAGTCTAGAATTAAGAGACTGCCTTTTTGTCACTGTCTCCAGTAAAGTGTCTCTGTCCGATCGATAGCTTTCTACCTTGACACGTGGTGGTCGCCAGGCTCGCATATCGCAATCACTCAACAAGGAACCGCTTGCTACCACTGGCCACAAACAGACTATTTAAAGTTGTATGTCAAGTTATGTCAGTATCAAAATCGAATCATCAACTCGAAATGAACAATTTTTCCCGGCCAACTTCTTCTAATTGCCCTTCTTGTAGAACAGGAGGCAGCTTAAGTGTGTCTTGTTGGTCATTCAAAGGGAACGCATATCTGTCATTACCACTTCTGCATCAGTATCCCTAACACAGTATAAAGTGGCATAATAAGGTGAGCAAAATTGAGGTCTACGACTCTGGCGTAAACGAGATGTTCGACTATCGACCAAAGGGCGGGTGTACTGCTCATCAGTCCGCTCCATCCTCCTTTATGGCTGTGAGCGAGACCTGGCCACTGAGAGTGGAAGACATGAAAAGACTAGCTGTCTTTGATCATAGGTGCCTGAGTTCTATCTCCCGTGTTATGTGGCATAATAAGGTGAGCAACATTGAGGTTAGGCGTCGTGTTCTAGGTAAACAGGGGAAATCAATCGACGAAGTCGTGAAGCTACATCGACTGAGATGGTTAGGACATGTGTTACGTATGCCAAGTCATCGCCTCCCTCGACGAGCTATGTTAGCGGATATAGGGTCAGGCTGGAAAAAAGCTAGCGGCGGTCAAACAAAAACTTGGCATCAGTCAATGAAATCCACAACAGTTGGTCTAAGCCACGTAGAAAGGTGTAGACTTCCAGGCTGGGGTCCTCGGGACGGTAAAAATCTATGGTTGGAAACAATTGGTGACATGGCTCAAAATTGTTCTCAGTGGCGCAGATGCATCCACTCCCTGTGACTTATGATCTCCAATGAAACTGTTTTGTTCTTCATTATTACTCCTCCTTTGTCTCACACCTCTGCTCACTGTTTCTTTTATGCTTTTCTTGTACTTTCTTCTCTTGCTTCGCGTGCTACACGGAATGTGGCGACTTGAACTGGTGCACATTTGTGCAAAGTTCTATATCGAAAACAGACAGACAGACAGAGACACAGTATAAACGATTTACATAGTGGCGTTAACTGAATTTATCCTAACCGATATCCACTCTACCTTTGTAATATGGAGTAGGACTCGCAGGAACGTTTTTTCCAACCGGCATGGATCCTTAGGTCGATTGGGACAATACATGCGTAATCATCACGTCAAAGTTGCAGTTACCGTTTGCGTGGGGGGTGGGCGTGGTAAGACTAAGTAAACGCAGTAGTGTGCCCTAGTTCTTTATCACCAGGAAGTGGAAATCGAAATCATAAGGTGAAATTACTACTGGTCAATCTGTAACGGTAGAAGGGAAGAGACTGTGTAACGGAATGTTTGTTTGGAATTTGGTGTCTCTACATAGCAAAATTATATACACCTTATCGGAAAATCGTCATTTGCACAGATCTCCCATGTTGTGCTATTTCTGCCCTTCGTATTGTGCTTCTTTGTCTTCTTTCTGCGTCCCGCATGTTTTTCCTCAACACTGGTATATTTGCTATCTTTGACGCCAACTGTATTTCTCCGCTATTAGATATCTTTATGCCTATGAACGTCTCTGTATATAGTACTGATAAATCTTATTAGTAGTACACACCACTAATAGTTTGTTAGCCAATAATTTTGACGTTTTGTGTCTATTCTTTTGTTTATTAGTATGCTGGTCAATGGACTAGTTATAATCATGCATTAAGCTACTTGCTGAAAGATCCAAAACATCGTGCCAAAGCAAAACAATACGCTACTGCTGAAGGTCTACTGAATATATCAAAATATGAAGTTGGCAGACGGTTAACACGTGATGAATTAAAAGAACGCGAAGAAGAATTACTGAAGCGTATTCTAAAAGAGACTGTTGAACTTCGGTAAGCATATAGTAACTGTTGGTCCTTTTCTACCCCTCCAACCCATGTGGCCTCCACTTCATTCACCTGATGAACTGTTCCTGTTCATAGTGGGCATTTCAGCAATTCGTTTATTCAGAGTCTTTAAGGTTTGTGAGTACTTTTGATTGATTCGATTGCTAAGTTTCGTCACTTTATTATAATTACTTCTTTGAGCACATTTCAGTTTCACCCCATTATTCTCGGCAGTTCTCTTTAGCTTACCCTGCAACTGCCCATAGTCTCTTATCCCCTTTTTTAATACGATATTATCCATGTCATCCTCGAAGACCCACGTCTAATTCCTCGTTTTCCATTCGGGTTCCACTCGACCACCTGGCGTCCGATATCACTTAGCGGCCTCTTCAGCGTGTATCCGATCAATTATCATTTCCTTCGACATATTTGTTCGCCGATAGGTTCTTGTTTGGTTCGTTGACAGGGTTTCTTGTCACTTATCCTTTCTGGCTGCCTACTACCGCGAATGATCTTCCTGATTGCAGTAGATTGGATAATGAGACAGACAACGGAAAATGAGGAAACAGGCATAAAATGGACTCCAGAGGATCTGGACTTCACCGATGTGATATATATGTCTGATTTCCTACGAACTGGAAGATATGCAAGTGAAAAGCAACAAGTTGTCAGAAGAAGCATCCAGAGAAGATAGGACTTCAGGTGAACATAGATAAAACAGAGGTGATGAAGATTCTTGTTCAACACCAACAACAACAACAGACAACAATCAGCCAGCATAAATAGGAGGAACCTGAAAGAAACAACCTCCTTCACCTACCAAGACACCTGGGAAGCATTGTTTCAACTACAGGCCGACGGAACTGACGAGGATATCAAAGCCAGAATAATAATAATAATAACAGCTTTATTCCAAACAGTATTTGTGGTACAGGTATGGAATTTTCAGCGTGCATTACAGTATATTGCATCTAATTACCTCATAAATTATATAAGATTTTTAAAAATCAAAAATAAATAAAAATAAAATAAATAAGTTATAAATAAATAAAATAAATAAATATTAAAAATTAAGAAAAAAAAAACAGCGTAGAGTATTTCATTTCAAACAATGCACCACAGGATTTGAAATATAAAGTTGATGTGTGGTAGTAGATGAGAACAACAGTGTAGTAGTAACGAGGAAAGGAAAACAAAAACTAATGGGACTATTTGTTAGAGTGCCGCAGTAAGTTTATCGTGTCATACCTAACGGATTTCTCATCACATAACAGCTGTGCCAGATATGGTATTGTGGAGTTTTTGTATTTGGTAGTCCTAGCATATAGCCTCCTATAGCTGCTTCTAGTTCTTCCAGATGAAATGCAAGGAGATAGATGCGTATAGAGAGGATGCTGGGGGTCCGACAATATTGTATTCGCTAGTTTCTTACATGACATAATATGTCTATCTACAATAGTGTTCACCAGTTGGTTTAACGATATCCCACTTGCCCTACTAACAGCTTTTAGTGCCCTTCTCAGCGAAGCAAAGTCTTTCTTAAGTAGTCCAGGAAAGACTAATGGGGAGCAGTAAAGGAGGATGGGTAGAATACAAGAATTTACAAACTGAGAAAGTAAAGACTGCTTTATGCCAGACTGCCTAAATTTCCTAATGTAGAACGTTAAGCGAAACATCTTTCTAGTAACTAGCAAGATGTGGGAAGACCAGGAAAGATCGGTGGAAAAACTCAGCCCAAGGTACTTGACATAAGATGTATTTTCAACCTCTGTGCCGTCAATGAGAGTGGGGCCATGTGAGCTAACTAGTTGCTGTAGGTCACATTTACGTCTGAAAGTGAAATTGACTACCTGACATTTAGACGGATTAAGCTTAAGTCCGTTTGAAGAGGACCACTGACTAATTTCCGACAGAAAGCTATTTAATTTGGAACAATCTGACTGAGAGTTGACAGGCATAGAAACCGAGAGGTCATCGGCATACTTAACAAAAGTGGCTACATCAGAATGAGGCAAGTCATGTAAGAAAAACGAGAACAGAAAGGGAGAAAGAACAGCACCTTGAGGAACACCAGCTAAAGTAAGTGAGGTAGTGGAGGATTTTCCATTGTAGACGGTGTACTGCTTCCTTTCAGAAAAATAGGAATGCAACCACTTATTTGTCCAGCTTTCAGCCTGTGTTGCAGCAAGCTTACTTAGCAAGAGAGACCTGGGAACAGAGTCAAATGCAGATGTGTAATCAAGGAAGGCACAGCGAACGTATTTAGCTCCTTTATCTAAACTAGAGACTATGCTATGGTGGAGGACGACAGCGGCATCTAACGTACTCCTACTATGTTTATAAGCAAACTGGTTGGGGTCGTTGAAAGGTTTTAAAGAGGGATCAAGATTAAGTAAAATAAGTCTTTCCATAACTTTCAAAAAGGGTGAGGTAATTGAAATGGGTCTAAACTTAACATTAGGTCCACTTGTAGATTTAGGCACTGGAACGATCTTGATGTTTTTCCATGATTCAGGTATAATACTTTTGGAAAACGATTCGTTGAAAATGTCAGTTAGCGGGGAACACAAGATGTCGGCACACTTCTTAAGGATAACAGCAGGAACACCATCAGGACCGAGGGACTGAGTAGGCTTGAGAGATTGAAGACACTTGAGGACATCATTCGTGTTAAAGCATGAGAAGCAGTCATTGTTTACACTATTTGAGTTAGGAATCATAACATTTGCTGGGATACATATGAAGGATTCATTTAGCATGTTAACATCTACAGAAATATCATTCAACATTTGCTTACCACCTGTGATTTCCTTTAATAACTTCCACATATTTGATGGGGATTTACATGAAAGAAACTTCTGGTTATAGAGAGCATTCAATCTTTGTAATTCAAGCTTAATCAAAGTGTTCATTCTCTTAACACCAGATTTGTTTTTCATTTTGAACAACCTTTCTTTTTCACGGCGGAGCTTTTTGAGTTGAGAAGAGGAGAAGCGATCGAATTTTAAGAAGATTGTCTCTTTTGGACAACAAACATCAAGACAGAAATTAAGATAATGTGTTATGTTGGCAATTGTGTTATCAAGAGCTTGTTCAGTAAATAGATCCCAGTTTGTGTCTTTTAACATGGACCTTAGGTTCAGTATGTTGTCATGGGAATAACATCTGTGTTGTGTTTTCTTTCCAAGGTATGAGAAGACCCTTTTGTGCTGCTTTCCATATACTTTGGGCAATATTCTTATGATACAGTGATCTGAATTTAGTAGTGGGGCTCTTTTCCGAGCTTCAAATATTCCTGCATCGTTTGTAAAAACAAGGTCAAGAGTGTTGTCCATTCTAGTCGGGAAGTTGACAATATTATCGTGTCCAAGTGAAATTAGGAAGCTGTGGTCACTAGAATTAAAATCACCAGTAACTATAGACAAGGAATTTCCGAAGGAGGTGGCAGCAAGGGAAGTAAATTCATCCGCAAATAAAGATAATTCTGTGGAGTTGCATCCAGGAGCAATATACATGTTCGAGATGTAAATGTAGTTGTATTTAGACAAATGTTTAGGTCGACACTTAACGGTGAGACAGTCAATATTGTCACTAGAGAATTTGAAACATACATTATTAGACGTACACCATTGTGAATTGATGAAGATGGCGACACCGCCACCGCGTTTCTTCCTGGAACTACACCGATCTTGTCTGAATAGTTTGAAATTATTTAGATACACTAGATTGTCATCATATAGATCATGAAGCCATGTTTCTTGAAGTGATATGATCCCAGTATTATGATATATAATGGAAGACACCAGCGATTGAAGACAGTTAATTTTAGCCGGCAGGGAGCGACAATTGGTACTCATAATTGCGGGAACAGTCATGAATTGAATAGGGGTATTTTTTAATGCTCTCTGCCAGCCGGCATGATGCTTTTTCTTGTCTTTTTTATGGAGTTGCAGATCAGTAGGTTTTAAAGATATTAGATATTCACGAGAATAAATAATCCGATTTGAGGTCATATTTGAATAAGATTTATTGATTAAAATATCAATTAGAAATGAGAAATTAGATGCAATATGATTTGTAATGTTTAAGGTAATTGGTAGCCCAAGATTTAAGCAGGCCGCCAAGGTCAGAATCAGAAAAGCAAGACAAGCTTTCATTACTCTCAAGTCTGTGTGGAGGTCAACAGCACTCAGCATGGAAATGAAAATAATATCTGGATTTTCAACTCCAATGTGAAGTCAGTGCTACTATGCGGATCAGAGACTTGGCGAGTCATAAAGAGCATCTCAAGCAAACTTCAGACCTTCATTATAAGTTGTCTTCACTCAATACTACTCAAGATCAAATGGCCGGCCGTAAAAGATCAGCAACAGGGTTCTCTGGCAATGAGCGAACCAACCAGGAACCGATTGTGAAACAAATAGGCAGGAAGGAATGGAGATGGATTGGCCATACGCTGAGAAATCAAACCATCAATTGACATCACTAGACAAGCCATCGCTCGAGTGGAACCCGAAAGGGAAGCGGTGAGTTGGTCATCAGTGCAAGGGTGACATGGAGTGGAGGAGGTCATGTGAAGAGGAGATGAAAGCATGTGGGCAGACTTGGAGCGGGGTGAAAAAGTTGGCAGGAAACCGAAGGCAATGGAGATGCGCAGCTGTGAAGCCCTATGTTCCTCTAGGAATTAAAGGATATAGTAATAAAAATATAATAATAATAATAATATCCTTTCTGGCCAGCCATCTGATCTCCGCGTGTCGAGCCATCGAAGGTAGGTGTTGTTGATAAGAGGCAGCAGCAGCTATTTGAACTGTTTTTGATGACGTGTCAAGTCTCTGCAGCATCCACAAGCACACTGATTTGACATTAGTATCATTAAATAACATCAAGCAGAAAATCGTTGAGCAAAACATGAAGCACTAAATAATTGTGTCGCCTCAGTTTAGGACTCTTCAACAGTATGCACTAACAATTCCACTGATGATTTAACTAAACGCCTGCAGTTT